ATATTAAACAAGCAATAACGAATGAAACAGAAAAAGTTATTAATAAAATTAATGAAGATCCAAAATATGATGATTTACAAAAACAAATCGATGATTTGAAAAATACTAAAAGACTAGCTTAATATTACAATATATTTTTTTTTTATGTATTTTTTATTAAAGTTTATTTTATTTTTTTATATATAATAAATAAAATATTCAGTCATATTTTAAAAAAAAATAGCTCTTCGTTTAAATTTAAGAAATTAGCAAAATAAATATAGTTCAGTTATTCAAATGCAACAAAATATAAACAAAAGTATACATTACTATAATACTAAAGGAAGATTTCAAAAAAATAACAAACAACTATTAAATGAAATAAACAGATTATGTGAAGATCTTATTGAAGCCAAAAAAGAAGCAAAAGAAGCAAATCAGAAATATCTCAAAATAAAAGAAAAATTAGAAAAAAAAAAAGAACTTCATGCTGAAACAAAAAAAGAATTAAAAGAAGTTGAAGATGAACGTAAAAAACTTATAGATCAAAATATAAAAGAAAAAGAAAAGAATAAAGAACTTGAAAAAGAAAATAAAAGATTAGAAAAAACTATCGAAGAGCTTAAACATAATCATCAAATTAAGATTGATCAACTAAAACAAAAAATTAAAGATAAAGATGATGAGATTAATAACTTAAAAAATGAACGTGATAGATATAAGACAATAATTAAAACTTAGAAAAAAGTTATCGATAATTTAGAAAATAATAAGAAAGATTTAACTGATCTCTATGATCAATGTAAAAGAAATCATGTAGATTACGATTCTATAAAAGACCAATTAGAAAAAATTACAAAAGATAAGAATAAACTTGAAAAAGAAAATGAAGACTTGAAGGATAAAATGAACGAAAAAGAAAAAAAGATTGATGAGATAAATGATAATGTTAAAGAAATTTTTAGTGTAGTTAAAAATTTACCACCTACATTATTACGTGAAATAATTAAGGAAATAGAAAAAAATAATCATGAAATAGTTGATATTAAAGAACAAATAAAAGGATTGCAACGATTATCTAGATGATTAGTAAACTTTATTTTTATTTATATTATTTATTTTATTTATATAGTTTTATTTATTTTTTTTTATATTGTTTATTTTATTTAATGTATAAATTATTTTACAAATAAAAATAAATATTTTATACAAAATACGTTATCAGTTAATTTAATACAATATAAAAAAAAATATTTTTTTAAAAAAAAAATAATTAATCTAATTCTGGAAAGGTTCTAAATTTATATCAGATTCAGGTTCTAATTCAGAAGGAGGTTTCAAATCTGTTTCAGATTCGAATTTTAATGCAGGAGGAACATTTTTACATCTTAGATAAAGAATTTCAGTATCTTTTTCTTGTTTTTTTAGATTATCATATTGTTTTTTATATGCTTTTTTTTGTTGTATCAGATTATAAGGAATAGCACCTCCATATTTTGATATTTGATTTTGTTTATTACGCCATTTGTTATACGCAGATTCTGAACTTCTTTTAGTTTTTTGCCAGTTATCATATAGAATTTGTTCTGACATTTTAGTATTTAATTTTTTTTTTATAAATGTAAATAAAAAAAAGATCTTTTTTTAATCGAATAAAAAAAAATGTTCTATTTATTTTTATGAGATTTTAGATTTAGATAATAAGAAGATTTTTGTATTGTTCTTAATTTAGAACATTTGTTAACTGATTATTATTTTTGATTTCTGCTATACTAACTATAATAAAGTACAAAAATTTATTGATAAGTTTATGTTCTTATTTAGATTTGGAATGTTCGAATTCTTTGTTTTGATATTGAGATATAAAACATAAAAATAATTTTTTATAAAGAAAAAAATATATAATGCTAAAAAATATAATATCAATAATAATATTAACTGTGATAGCACAGATCCAAAAAAGGTCTAATTTTATGTTTTTCATAATTTTATTGTCATGATAAAAATCAACGAGAAAAAAACTAGGTAAACAAATTAAAGTTAAATTAATCAAAATAAAACAAAAGTAATTCATGTATTCAAATTCTTGTTTTTTTTAGATTTATAAGTAATACTTTAATCTCTAAAAAAAAACATGTATTTATAAATATTTTAAATTAGTAATCGTAAAATCAATTTATCTTTATCAACTTTTTTTAACGTAATTTTTAATCTATCTAAATTTGTATTTATTGATTCTTATCAATTGAATCGAGATCAAGCATTCTTTTAATTTCTGTTATACCAACTTTAATAAGGCACAAGAATTTATTTGTTTTAATTGATGTAAAGAATTAAATATTCAAGAAAATAATATATGAAAAATTTTGTTATAAAAAAAGTTAAAATTTTGTCTCTTGTTCATTACGATTTACTCGTTTTACAACTTTTAAACTTTCAAATCAAAACTTAAAACTACTTTAATTTCTTTGATTTTATCAATAAAATCTATAAAAATGCTTTTAAAAGTTGTTATTACCATTGTTATTACTCTTGCTTTTTTGGGTTTGTTTTTAACAAACCTATCTGTTGGTGAATACAATTCTTATATTCACCAATTTATTTTTAAAATTATTAAATCCAAAACCTTTTTTTGGGTTTGTGCAATTACAATATATATTCTTATTAATGTAATTGCAATTAAAGTTGTAATTTCGGTAATATATAATTATTACTGGAGTTTTTTATATGAACATTTTCCAGAGCGTGTCATATATTAAAGGTAAATAATATTTTATTAAATATAA